TCCTTTGGATCTGAGGTTCCTGCGCTGAGATGCTCCCAGACCAAGGGAAGACTGATGCAGCACAAGGACCTTCCTCCAGAGCTGACAGAGAGGGCCTTCTGGAGCTGATGCCCTGAATTTGGACTTGTAGCCTACTGGACTGTGAGAGAATAAACTTCTCTTTGTTAAAGCCATCCACTTGTAGTATTTCTGTTAAAGCAGCACTAGATGACTAAGACAGAATTTGGTATCAGGAGTGGGGTGATGCTGTAACAGATACCTAAAATGTAGAAGAGGTTTTGAAACTGTGACTGGATAGAGCAGCGGCAGTGGCAGAGAACCAGCAGCAGCAGAACTAGGAGACTGGCGTGAGACGGCGCTAAAGCTGACCCACAGAGGGAGAGAGCTGAGTGCCTGTGCGCAGGAGGCTTCCCGGCGGAGTGGAGGCACTTACCGATGGAGTACCAAGCTTTGGAACACTTGCCCTAGCAGGGCAGAAGCTGAAGAGACAAGGAACACAAGAAGGCGAGCTGCGTCAGTCTCAAAAGATATGGCCATGACCTCAGGGGTTTCAAAGCGTGGAGCCATGGCCTCTGGTGTTTCTAAGGGTGGAGTTGTCACTCCGATGGACTAGGAGAATGGAGCGCCTAAAGCCGAGGGAGCAGAGTTGCCATCCCAGTGGGCCTGGAAGGCAGAGCTGAAGCCCAGGGCCGAGGGGCCTCCACTCAGAATCCAGAGACTGTGGCCAATACCTGGAGTCTGGAGGGCAGGGCTATTGTGTAAATGGTCTCAGAAAACACAGGATTATTTTCAAGCCTTGAGGGCTAATGTAATGTGTTCTGCTAACTTGCTTGGTACCTGTTATTCCTTCTTTCCCTGCAGTTTCTCCCATTTGTAATGGAAATGTCTAGCCTGTGCCTGTTCTGCCATTGTACCTTTGGAAGCAGATAACTTGTATTCTGGATTTCACAGATGAAGAGGAGTTTTTGGATTTTGGACTTGGAGTTAAGACTTTTGCTGTGATATGATGAGATGAATATGTTTTGCATGTTGCAAGGATGTGATTTGGGGGGGCAAAGGGTGGAATGTCATGGATAGAATTGTGTCCCCCCAAAAATGTGTGTAACATTGACTAAGACACTACTCAAAATATGATTATGTATCAGTAGCATCAGTGTTGCCTGGGAGCTTGTTCGCAGTTGCCATCAA